GGGGGGGGGGGGGGGGGGCGGGGCGGCGCGGAGCACGTTACCATGTATGTCTTGGTAACCTGAGCTAGAACCTACCGGTAGCAGCTTATTATCGCTACGATCTGCAATCCTTGCTATCGCCCTTTGCATGCTGCCCAATATACTTTATGCTATGTTTTACGTTGCGTGCTACTGCTCTATGCCCCGCACGGTATGCGATACGGCTCATATCCTAAGCCTTTTTCATACACCCTCTGTTCCAAACATGTCCTGTTATTCTCTTCCAATATTGCGTGGAAGTATATGGAAGTGTATTGGATGATAAGCGATAATGATGTCATGATGTCATGTGACATCAAACGCAGTAACATCAAACGCTGAAATGCTGCTGACATCTTCTCATATGGTATGATACGACACGGTAGCTGAGCTCAGATAAGCATGTCGTGGCGGACGGTGGTTTCGACTTTTGCGTATGCTGGTACGGTCCCGAGTGCTCCCCTGTTGATGCGGCATGAATGATACTTTCCCAAAACAAGGTATCATGCGCGATGATATGAGCCATGCTTGAGAGCACGAAATGTCCTTGATAGTGCGCTCCGCTAAGTGTGCTCCGTAGGTGAAGAGTCTCGTGTTCGAATGTAGGATCAGACGGATGCATGCGAAACCAATCATGTTCTATCTGGCTTCTCTTGTCCCAAAACAGCTTGAGCCAAAACAAAACGACAAGACGTGACATGGCAAAATAGTTTGCACGATACTATACGAGTACTGATCGGTACTGCACGACCAAACTCGATCATGATGAGACATCATGAGATGCCAAACATGGTGTGATGTGAACATATTCTACTACACACGGCTCTTTCCAACTAGATGGCTGCATCTAGCTTCCAGTCCGACGCTCAAGTCGCCTGGCCAGTTCCGCTGCCTCTGGCGGATTGGGCTTCTTGGGGTCCACCGGCGCCTTCTCCTGGGGGTGCCAGCGACAAACCTAACGCACGCTGGGTTCCGAAAATTCTCCGCCGGCGCCTCAAGCTCCAAATTCATGAAGACCTTGCACACCGTGTCTGGCTCAGACAGAAATCGGCTAGCATGCCGGGGACGCCACGCCACCGGAATTGCTCAGCATGCTCCTAAATTCCTCGATGAAGCGTCGCCCCCTGTACCTCAACAGCAAACAAACAGCCCTTCGCGGTCAGATCTGTGAGTGAAGGGAACCGAATCATTTGCCCGTTCCGAAAGCGAAGAGATGGCGAAAAGCGCCGTTGCTCCTCTTCCCACGGCACCTAAGGAGCCAGGCCCGCGGCTTCAGTGCGCTCATCGCCAGGTTCCCGACCAGTCGCCTCCGCTTCCTCCTCCTGCTTAACCTGCCATGGTGCGTGTCTGCTGTGCTCAATTTTCGTGTCTGGTCGTGGACCTGCAGCCTGTCGCGGTCGACGTCTCTTTTTCCAGACTGCATAACTCCTATCTCAGACCAAGCCAAAGATAGCTAAGGCTCCCACCTTCATGGGAACATGTCCGAGCACTGCTCGTTAACTGGGCTGTCGGTCATGTTTTGCTACGAACTCTACCAGTCTACCATTCACGAGTCGGACCGACAAACCAAAGTGGGCTGTAAGCATTTGAGAAGCTTTCCGCAATGCCCTGGAAAATCATCCAAGCTTCAATCCAAGCTTTGTGTCCAACGCGAGTCGCAAATAGCCAAAAGGCTCCAAGGCTCCAGGCCATGTTTCTGTGCAAAACACTGTGACACTGTGATAAGGGCTTGTAATAAGGGTTCAGGGCTTTGGTTTTAGGAAGGCGGGCACGCCCATATGGTCGAGAGCAGCGACTGCCATTAACAACGCGTGGCGTCTCGAGATTATTCGCAGATTTGATTCAGCATTCTGCGAAGGCAAGATGCTGAGCAACCTCCTGCGAAGTGGCCACATACACTGCTTTGCGGATTGCCTAACACCATGTCACCATGTCCGTTCAACTCTCTTCCATGTACCGACCAGCATCCACGGCCACGGAATACGTGACTGCACCCCTCGGTGCGCTGTTCCTGAACAGGACCGTGGGTGAAACTGCCAACAGTTGATCTGACACGGCCGGAGCATGAGTCCTGTCGCGTGCCACATCGAACGAATCACTGGGACATTTTTGGCGCAGGACTCAAGCAGCAAGGCCGGAACCCCCTGCCTTCAGTGGTGTTACGACACACATGAAGGAGGAGACAGCCCGAAAACGCTGTACAAGGGGCTGTGGACGGCGGCAGGCCAATTCACTAGAAGCCAAACACAGCATCCATGTCCTGCAGGCAGTTGCATGGTTGAGTTCTCCCCACTGTCCTTCACTCGAGACCTCTTCAGAACTTCAGCCGAAAGAGCTTTAAACTTGGCCGCGATGACCACCATGAGTTATCAGAGGTTCGAGCTGCAACGGTGCAAATCCCACGCTCCTGGTCGCTGTTAATGATGACCTGGGTCCACTTCTTGAGAACCTGGCCACTGGGCCAGCAACAAAAACGCGACCTTGAAAAGCTGCCGGTACTGCTGTGCTTCAAACACAAGTCCAGGCAATCCCTGCCCTACGAACTGTCGAGACTCTGCGTCCCTCTACATCCGCCGACCCGGCTGTTGGGGTCGAGCGCTTCGATGTGCATCCACTTCGACACATTCCGACTTCGCAACGCCGGCATAACAGCGACAACGCCGGCCTCAAGCTGCATCTTGATGTGCTCACAACTAGGATCCTCGATCATCTGTATGGTCTTCACCTGGCGTCACACCGAGACGGCTCCAGTTGAAGCGACTGCGCCACGTCTCAAAACTTGCCGTTCTCTATCAATCGCAAGAGCATCAACATGCTGCGCCACTCGGAATCTTCTCTCACCGGACCTGACATCCCCGTCAGGCGCAAATCAGAAGATGGACGCGACTCTCACATCTTGGCGGCGAGCTCTTGGGCTGGATTCTGATGGGTCATGGAGATCTCCTGACAGCGAAAGACAGAGCTGAGCCTGAACTGAGAGATCCGGAGAGCCTGCAGAGCATCCCTCTCGGCCAAGCCATCGCCAACGCTGACGGCATGCAGCCAACCTCAACAAGCCAGGAAGGCGCAGAAGCAGAGCTTTCCAGGCTGCGGCTACAAGTATGCCCTGCTTTTTCGAAGCTCCACGCAGTTGCTGTTCTTCCGGTAGAACCTCCGCAGGATGCGCTCCATGACCTGATTCAGGGCGGGCCCTTCTTCGGGAAGGGGTTTTGAGCCTTTTGCGGCCTTGCGCTTGCGGTTGGATCTTATGTGAAGCTCCAGCACCTTGGCTCTCGGGACTTGCACCCCTACACCTCCCGAGTCGGAGTCCGAGGCCGGTGCGGTGCCTTCCAAACCCCCGGCGCCACTGGGCTTCTGGCACCAGAAGCCCTGCCTCGGCTTTCTCCGCTTTCTCGATCCGATCATTTCGTCATCAGGGTGCCCCTGGCCTGCTGGGTGTAGCAACATACTCCTCAACCGCGTAGTGCACGGAGATCTCACATTCCTGTCGAGAGAAGACTAGGACTCCTCGAGGAATAGATGCACTTGAGGGCCTGCCACAGCCGAGCCAACCGAGGCATGAACGCCTTCATTGACCTCTGATCAACATTCCAGAAAATGCGTGCAAACTGCAAAAAAAAACACCCTGCTGTGCGTGGCACATTTCCACCCAGGGTCTCTGAGACAACGTAATGCACACCAGCGTGCTCTTGCCTCGAAGGCGTTATATGGCTGGTTCGCACCGCAAGAGGAACTGCAATGAGGCCGCTGCTGTTCATCCAAGAGATGGACTCATGAGCCTCGGGTGTCGACTGCACACTCGGCATGTTGCTGCCCCGAACGTCGATCCCTGAGCTCCATGCCGCCATGTCCAGAGCGTTGAGATGTTCAAGGTCTTCAGGATCAATTTCGCCGATGCTTTCCGGTGAACCCTCGCATGACGGTCGTTACGCGTCACTGGGTCTGCAGAATTGTCTACATGAGCTGGCTGTCCTTTTCCCGGATCCAGTTTCGGAACCAGGGCTTCGTGGCAAGCCAGGTGGTCGGAAAGATGGTGTCCTGATAGCTGGAGAATCCGTGACTGCTTCATATCTGCTTCCTGCTGCCTACTGCCGCAAGAAAGGCAGATACTGAGGCGGCATCGTCCCAATCCAAGATGAACAGCACCTGAGCAACGTGGTTGAAGAGGCCTGCAAAACCTGCCTCACGTCAATTACAACCCGAGGCGGGGCACGTTGTCCCTCCGTTGCCACTCTGCTTCGCCATGGCTGTGTTCCAGAGCCAAAGCCTGGTTTTTTACCAGAAGCGACCCCACCGCGGTCTCCGTTGCTCGTGATTCCGGTCTCCGGCCCTCACCTCTGGAACGTTGCCATCTCCAGAACGATAAAGCACCTGCCATGGAGAGGACATCGAGCGCCAAAGCGGCTGACATTGATCCGGCCTCTTGCACGGCTGTCTGGAGGCCCTCTACTAAGGCACTGATGCCTTCTTCGGCGATGCCTTTGCGTGGCATGCGCGAGAGTTCGAGACTCCAACATCACCACCACGGAAGCGCTTCTAGTAGCATGGAGTGTACTATCTTACTACGTGGGCCTCGATGCTCTTCAGCTGCTTTTTCAATGCTCGCGAGCTCAAGCTCCTGATCGGGTCAAGAGGCCACTTCGGCGGAGAATTCAACACGTGGTCGCCTCTTCAACTCGGAAGCTGTCCAGCTGTGCATCCTGAGGCGCTGGGCACTCTGCGGCTTCTTTCCGAGGCCTCCGAAGGCCAGACTCTGCTGGACTAAGTTCGGGACGAGCGCAGCCACCAGGTCGTCTGGCACCTCCGAGCGATTGTGGATCTAACCGGTCTAACCACCGCACGGCCCTGGCCGATGCTGTCTGAGGCTGAGGCCTGCAGCGCATTTTTCACGATAGCAGGTGACGATTGTGAACCTCACAGCAACTGCCAGTCTTCCAAATCTCCCCTTCAGAGAGCAAAATCCATCAGACAGTGGAAGACAAACTTGCTTTGCCTTTGGCTCTAAGATGCTCTATAGGCATGGGGCTTTGAATCGGTTCCTCCTGCCAACAGTTGCAAAAGTGTTGGCTGAAGCTCAAACTGCTCGGCGCTCCCCAAGCCCTCCTTGTCGGAGAGTCGTCCTGGTAGCCGTGGATCCTCAGAAAGCGCTGATGTTCTCCCTCGTCCCCTATGTTGTTCTCCCACACCTTCTCCTGCCAGCACCTCCACAGCTTCGCTTGCAGCTCTTGGCCTCAAGACAGGGGCATCGCCGCCAGAATTTTGGCGCGGGCTGCGGCTGTCAGGATCTGGCTCGTCCGATGGCCGGACCCCTCTATGTGCTTGAAGCGTTCGTCTGCCAAAACGGGTTCCGTCAACCTGCGACAACCTCCGAGGTCAAGGAGAGAGCGCGAGGGTAACACGCATGTCATCGGCTGAGGCCCCGGGCCAACCACCCCCACGGCTTTGCCGAGGTCCGGAGGGTACTCGGCGGTGTCTTCCGAGAAACATCTGGAAACCTTCAGCTCCTGGCCGGCCTGAGAGCGGAGAAGCTGAAGCGCAGCTCTCTGCCGCTGCTCAGGATCCGGGCCAGCATCCGGGCCTGATTTCGTATAATCAGCCTGAGTCAGCCATTTTGGGGCAGAGGACATGCGCCCAAAAGGCTGGGGGCACGGGCCTCGCGAGGCGAGGGAATTCCTCAGGGATCGTGCCTGCATCAGATCTGCTCTTCTCACAACTCTGGGGTCTCCGCTGATGCCGCTAATGCTCCTAAGGTCCTACGACGAGCAGACAAGCACAGCAGTTAACGCAGCAAGGCTCGACCTTCCGCGTCGATGACTGCAAACTTTCGCAAATTGGCATTCAATTTGCTGTTTTCCATGTCCGGCCTCAGTGAAAGCACAACAACGCACGGTACCACGAAACGCTTCCGCTTCTGAAGCAACGCAATCCATCAGCTTCGAAATTAGGCGGAATGTGCGATCAACTGCCAAACAAAACTAAAACCAGTCTATCAAGTCCTTTCATGTCCACAACTGGGGCTCCCACGCACCAGTGCCCGCATGGAGGAAATCTGCCTCAACACACTGCAACAGCGAAGCCGGGGCGTTCTACGTATTGCTTTGTCTTGTCTTATACAAACATATTAAGTATGTTCTTTGATCGCTTGCCAAGATTTCCGTCCATAAACCATCGATCTTTTTTAATTTTGTTGATCAGGAAGCATGCAGCCCTGCAGAACTATGCAGTGGAATTCGACGGATGTCTTAGCAGTACACACTGAGCAGGCTGTCGATGGTCTCGCTTGGGACGGCTTCGACGGCCTTGGCACGTGCTGATCTCCATCGCTATCCGCCCCTTTTTGCTCGCCGTCACGCTTCAAACACACGTGTCACATGTACGATGAGGCACTTGCAAGGGCTTCACAAGAAGTCACTTCACTAGAACCGGATGCTGAGAGGAGGATCCTCGATTCAGCTTTAGCGCAAGTGAACCGGACTGGGCACCAAGCAGGAGTGCAATCCCCTGTGGTAACTTGAGATCTTGCCGATCTCTGCGAGTCGACTTTGACAACCTGTCACAGCACGTGGACTGCACATGAATGTGAGCTGCGAGGCAATGAGATGCCAAACCTCCTTCCATGGTAGGGAATCACCTGGCAGAGCACAGCTGGAATCGCAGCTATGTCACACCATGAACTGAGGGGCCCGCCTGAAGGTGCTTCATCGTTCGGCTCAACAGTAGATTCGTTAGACCTCGAAGCGCTCGGGGCAGATGACAATCATCGAAGATAGCACAGTTTCACAAGGTCGAGGCCCCGCTGTGTTCCTTTCCTTCAGGGGCTCCTGGCAAGGATGCAACGATGAAACGAACTTGATCGCCTGCTCTGGACAGGGTGGGGCCTCCTGCAGAAGCAAAGCACTTTGTGTGCTGCCGCCGCAACCCATCGTGTCACATCAACTCTGTCGATAATTCTCTGCCGTCACTACGCTTCGTTGCAGGTTGACCGGCGACGTCCGATGGTGAATAGCATTTGTGAAAGGCACCCATGTCGAATCTTGCGTGCCTTTAACCCTGACCCGGTTCCCTTGGCCTCCAGCCTGGGCCTAACTGTCGCTGGCTGAGCCAGGACTTGCGGCAAGGAGGGCAAATGAGGCAAACATATGCAAACATGTCTCAACACCGTGGGCTTCGCCGCCACCTCAGCGGCTTTCGTCAGAGCACCCTCGCCCAGTGACCTTGCGAACCGAGAGGCGAGAGACGAGCACGCGGATGCCATGGGACGTGTCTTCAGGGCCGGGCTCCCCAAGCAGCATGCCCTGATAGTTCATGGGATGCGCCTGATCAGATCAAGTCTGACTTCTCATTTTAAGCAGTGTAGGGAATCTTAATAGGTTCTCCGGAGAGAGATGTAATGAAATAAACCCCACACCTAACGAAGTAATGCAAGTTCGGTGTCTGCCCAAACAATTTACAGCAGGGTCTCTCGACAATATGAACGAGAATGTCGACGTTTCGTCTCTGCTTGTCTCCCTTCATGTGGGCGAAGCTCGTCTCCCTTTGAATTGCTCTTATTTTGCTTCAGCTGTTTGGCGTCTTCGGTGTCATGCTTGAGATGCCAGGACGTTTTGGACATGGACACTTTTGCTGAGAAGGTTCAGTTGCAACTCTCAAAATCTCAAAATTGCGATCCAAAGCCTGCGGCCCAAGGGCACCCAGAATCATACTCTACGCTCGCGAAGAATCGGCAAGGAAGGCCTGAAAGTCGTCTGGACCTGGGGCCCAGGATGCTCGAAATGTTTCTCTGGCTGCAGGGCACATTGAGGAACGAGCTGGAAACCCCGAGTGTCGTCAGGCTTTCTGGAAGGGCGAAGATGCCTTGCGCTGCTCTGAGCCAGTCTCTGCGTTGCTACGCTTGATGAAGGCGTCGTCCCTTGTCCCTGCACCTGCCACATCCATAGTCAGCGTTGTCCAGCAATCTCTGTCCTGACGCAAAACTGCTGATTTTGATCGGTTTCCAGAAAAGTTGATTGTCCCGCCTCTTCAGGACCTATCAACATGTCAGCCCGGATGGTCACCTGGCAACAGCACCGGCCAGCTTTCAAAGCACTATGCCCTGGTCATGCTGGCCATGCCAGGTGCGCAGAAAGGACCGTCACAGGCGGAGTCTCGCCCTCGAAGAGCGGCTCACGCTCCTGTTCTGAGCAACCCGGACCCAATTCAATCCCTGTCTCTCCGACAGATCCGCCAACCTAACTCTTAACAGCTGAAAGTTGTTGCAGGAAGTGAACAGTCTCGCGTCCTTTGGCGTTTCCGTGGGTGGCGGGGCCTTCTTGTCCTGTCGATGAATCGTCGATGGAGTAGCAAAAGCAGGTTTTCTCCCAGCAGCAGGTCCGGCTCCTTCTTGGCCTTGGGGTCGTCTGCCTCGTCCTGGGCAGGTCAAAAGCATTGTGACCGCACTTCACACCTGGCCCTGACTCCGTCGCGTGCCGCCGCAGCAATCAACCCTCCGGCGGATGGCGTTGACTGAGCCCCACACATCTTTCCACCACTTGGCGTAGTACTCGGGTTCCAGCTTGAGCTCCACTTGGGCCGTCACCTTTCCCCCGCAAGCACACGAACCTCATCGTACCGGCGTACCGCCATTACAAGTTTTCGGGCACATGCGAGGGATGGCCTCCGTCACGCTGTGCAACAAGGGGACCAGGCTCAACTCCGCGGAGCCTGGAACGACGCAGTGGCAGCCTCCCGGATGCCCCCCCCGTGGCCCCAGGCCCTCCCGCCTATGAGGGCGTTCTCGGCGGCGGCGTCTCGAACCGAGAGAACCAAGGGTCTCTGCACAATGTCATTGTACAGGTCCTGTCTGCTTCAGCACAGCCGCCATGCACAGATATGCACAGCCCGTCCTGGTTCTGCAATCTGATGACGGCATCCTTGGAAAACTCCTCAGTCGGAAGCGAAATGCCGCAGTGACTGCTCTGACACCTGAGAACCTGACCCAGCTGGACTCGGACGAAGCCCCAGTCCTGCGAAAATTCCACATGCCGGACTCCCACAGAGGCATCTGAAGGACCGCACCGGAACTCTTTGCAGAAGCCGCTGAAACCAAGGAGTGTCTGCAGCCTCAGGCGCAGAAGCCCATGTGAGCTTCATGTCAATGCAGGACGGGGGCGTGGCTCCCTTGGGAGGTTCTGGACCCCGTCGGCGGAGATCTGGATGACCACCTGCGCCAGGACTGCAACGTACTGCAACTGCCGACCTCCCAACAGGCCATGTGGATGCCGCCTTGCCAGGACCGGCTTCCTCCTCTTCTTCGGGGCCGTCTTGCAGGACGTCTGCCGCAGAGCTTTCCTGCGTAGCAGCCGAAAGCCTTTAGAGTCCGCGATCGGAATGTCTAAGTCCGCTGGAGCAGCTGCTGCCCGGGACTCACATCCGGGGGCGAGCCTTCTTCTTGGGCGCCATCACGTCCCAGTCATGGATCTATGCCTACTTAGGAGGGTGCTAAATGAAGTGGGCTGTGCTCTGCAGCTGCGATAAGATGCAAGATGTGGCAACCTGACTATGCGATCACGCGATGCAAACTTCCTGAACGAGGCTTCAACATGCAGAACGTAGCTTGAGGAGAACCGGGCATGCAGGCGACGGCGGCTTCCGAAGACCGAACTAGATGCTGTAGATGACACTTGACACCACGACCGTAAGGAACAAAAAGAGCTAGGGACACGAATAAGAGTCGCACATGTGATGTCCAGAGATGGGCAATAGCGACATAACCAGCAAGATCCGCTATCTGGCAACAATAGCTCTATCACAAGTCAGGTAGTCGTCGCGTTTAAACGTTGGGCTTTGACTTGTCGTACTAGCAAACCTCGAAAGGCTCTAGGTGTCTCAGGGTCGAAATCTTCATACAAGTTGGGAAAGCAAGACAGCACACATCAAGATCGTGTCAACGTCAGCTGCGTGAGCCCGCAAGACATCTCCCAAAGTGCTCGGAGGGAAAACCTCGGGTTTGCTGCCACCGCAGACCAGGGCCACCACGGCTGTGCATCCCATCCCTGGCGCAGTTTTTACATGCCTAAGACTGCGGCACCTTCGACTCTGGAGGTGCTCAGGGTCACACCGTCTGGACCCTCGGCATTGGCCCAATCTGAGCTCGAGCCAGAAGCCGGTTCTTCCGCCTCGTCTTCTTCTGCAGCCTCCTTTGCAGTTCAGTCTTTCGACAAAGACTGGCATTACTTTCAGCCCCCGGGGGCGAGGCCTCTTCCACCTCCTCCTCCCATGGCCAATTCCGATCAAGGTGTTAGCTTCATTCATCTTCGTTCTCACTCAAGGACTGGCCTCAAGACCCTCAAGGTCGTCGGCATCGAGCTCTCCGGACTCCAGGAGGCGCAGCAGCTCCTCCTCGCAGCCCAAGGCGCAAGCAACCGTTTCCCCAACCTCGCTTCCCGTCCTCCTCCATCTCGGAATCCAGGGGAGGCGGCGTGGCTTCCTTCACCTGACGCAAGCTCCAAGCCTTTCCTAAGTCACAAAGGGCCCTGCGGCGCCGGAATCGTCAGCCTTTTCTCTGCCAGCGGGACTGTCCAGGAAGGAATCCAGTTTCAAGAAAGACTGACAGGGCCACAGGCAACAGGTACTGGAAAGACTTGCAGTCAGGGTTTAGGGGCTGCCCACCTCATACAAAGCTTCAGAGTAGCGCCCCTGGCAGCTGGAGACAAAAAGCTGCGTCCCGCTGCCCTCAAAAAGCCGACCTGGGCCCGGCACCTGCTTAAAAGCGGGGAGCGCCCTCAAAGTTTCGGGGAAGCGTTCAGCAGCAACTTTGGCCACCTGGCCAAGAAGCCCTGATATAGGGTCCCTAAACGCGTGAGGAAAGCTGCCCGGGGCACCGCTGCTCCTCCGTGGCCATCAAAGACCCCGAAGAGTGCAAGCTCGCGTTCCGGCTCGAAGTCTGGAATGGCCATATGAGCATCCTCGGCTCCCCAAGAACCCCCGCCTCTGCTCGACGCCCAGCCCTGCTTCTCTCATAGCTCGTAGAAGTACAGCCGTTATCGCCGTTGTCGTGCTGCTGGCTTTACGACAGCACTACTGATGGGGCATGAACATTCGCTTGCGCTGTGGGATATGACAGTAGACACCCCTCTGCACATACATGACTGCACAGTCTTTTTGCACAGGTCCTGCCAGCCTTCGTCCCGTCAAATCATCGCGAAACATTGGAACATCAACTCTGAGACACATCTTTCTCCATGCAAACTAGCTTACCAGCTGGCTAGCTAGTTAGCTAGGTCTAGTTGTCATCTACACATGCATCATATACATATACAGATCATAAACATAGTATGTATCTAAGTATATTTAAGTACAACTCGCTGTACCTGCATTAATGATAATGGCCAGTAACTACCCAGTAGCCAGTAGCCAGCAGCAGTACCGGTAGCAGCAGCAGTAGGTGCAAAAGGAGGAGCTGAAGTAGGAGCAGCAGCAGCAGCAGCAGCAGCAGTAGTAGTAGTCGTTGTCGTCGTAATCGCAGTCGCAGTAGTAGAAGCAGCAGCAGCAGTAGTAGCAGTAGTAGCAGTAGCAGTAGCAGTAACAGCCGTAGTAGTAGTAGTAGTAGTAGTAGAGCACCGCAGCAGCAGCAACGGCAGTAGCAGTAGTAGTGGCGGTGGCAGTGGCAGTGGCAGTGGCAGTGGCAGCAGCAGCAGTAGCAGTAGTAGCAGCAGTAGCAGTAGCAGTAACAGCCGTCGTAGTAGTCGTAGTAGTAGTAGTAGTAGTAGTAGAAGAGCACCGCAGCAGCAGCAACGGCAGTAGCAGTAGTAGTGGCGGTGGCAGTGGCAGTGGCAGTGGCAGCAGCAGCAGTAGCACAGCAGTAGCAGTAGCAGTAACAGCCGTCGTAGTAGTAGTAGTAGTAGTAGTAGCAGCAGTAGTAGTAGTAGTAGGAGGAGGAGGAGGAGTTGTTGTTGTTGTTGCTGCCGTTGTGGTCCTGGTCCTTGTCGTTGTCGTTGTGGTTGTGATTAATTATTCTTGTTGTTGTTGTTGTTGTTGCTGCTGCTGCTGCCGGTGTTGTTGCTGTTGTTCTGCTGCTGCCGGTGTTGTTGCTGTTGTTCTGCTGCTGCTCTGCTGTTGTTCTGCTGTTGGTCTTGCTTGTGTTGTTGTTGATGGTGCTTGTCGGCGTGCGGGTGTTGGGGGTGTTGGCGTGGTGTTATGGTATGATTATGTTCATGCTGCAGCGTAGCTGCCATTACTGCTGGTTATCGGTAGGTAAGTAAGGCGCTAGCTTTTGTTGCTGCTGGTCTTCGTTAGTAGCTACAGACGTTGTGGTCGCCAGGCTTCATGGTGTTGCTGTGGCGAGTACTTTCGATACTCGTCACAAACACGACGAGTAGCCACCACTAGGAATTCTGAATATGCTTCTTATACCATCGCAATCAACTCTTTATATACAATTAGCTTTGTTAGGTTGATCATTGTTTGCATTGTTTGCTGGTTCCTTCGCTATTCTCTCCTTCACCATTCTTCTTACCATGACAGAACTACGATCCTGAGAATGTTCTCTCATTCTCTCCTAGAAATATTTGGGTGAATCTTGCTGTTGAGATTGATATTATGCTTCACTTGGCCATACTGCCGGTGTGTTTCTTTCCATGTACCATCTTGCTACCGCTCTGATCTGACATTGCTGAAATGATATGGATCGCTGAGATGTTGACTTGTTATGCCACTCATGTTACTGAAACTCAAACTTTCGGATTTGAGGGACGGGCCTCCATGGCGGGACGCCATCCTTGCATGGAGCTCACACCAAAGGCATAGCGGCCCGTCTGACTCTTGCCGTCCTCGCGGGCACAGATGCGGACAGTGACCGTCACATGAAGGACTGATCCATTCAATCTTTGGCAGGTGCCATGACCACAGCAACAAGTGCTCATGCAACCGCTATGCTCCTGAATCTCTTTTGTTGTGACGGGCTTCGGCAGCAAGCCCCCCATGGCGCAGTCCCCATGTCTACTTCACCTATGGTAGCCTGCAACCCATGAACAAACTGGTGCTGTCGTAAGATGATTTATTGCGGCTCTAAGGATGATGCTATAGTTAACACATGTGCGTCCATATGCGTCTGTACTGAGGTTGGCGCGAAGCAGCTTCGGAATGACAAGCTCCCATCAGCTAGCACAACTCGCCATCAACACGATCCGATGATACAATTTCCTACGGCTTCGCCACGTGCATTGCAAATTTTCGATCAGCTTCCCGATCGTTGGAGCCCGGCTTTGGGTGCTCCAAGCGCTTTCAAGCATCAGTCTTCTGCATCTCCCGCGACTTCACGGAACTTCTTCTGCAGCTCCTGCAGGCGAGCGATGTCGGCCTCAGGGAAAGGGCGGAGCTCGGCGCCCGAAGCAATGCTGAGCACAGAAGAGATGCCACCATTGGGCGGTGCTGACCCGCGCCTCTTCGAGACCCAGCTCTTCGTCACGCCAGTCGTGGTCAGAGGCAGATAGAAACCTGCTGAAGGCGGAATGAGAACGAGTGATTAGTGATCCCGTCTGCTTGCTGAATGCACGATTAGGCAAGCCCAGGAAGAGACCCCCGTCAGATTTAAGCCATCCGAGCAACAGCTCGCCGTTGACGCGTGCAGCCTCCAAAGAGTCCAAGCAGTCGGAACTCAAGCCGCCAGTGCTCTCCAACCAGCTTCGAAGCTCCTGTCTTTCAACAACTGGAGGTATCCGTCCCTATACTTGTCCGGACCAAGGAAAACTCACATGTCTTGACGCGTTCAAGCGTTACTTTGGTGGTATTTGTACAAGCATCACCAAAACATAAAGCAGTACACCAAAACTGTGTTGCCAACTCCAGACCACACACTACTTAGTTGATGTCACTCATCACCACTACTCGTCCATCCTTACGGGGAATCCTCGTACCCACACGAGGTGGAAATTTCTTCGTCCAGCGACTTGGTTGGCCTGCTTGGGGTGCTACTGCGACATGTCCATGCAAGTCCGGCCCATTGCCGTCAATGCTTGCCTGTCTGTTCCCTGTTCGAGAGCCAGGTGCTCCGTCGCAGCTTCTGCTTGGTTGCGGAAAACCTCGATGGCCGTCGTGCGGTCTCTGCCTGGGCCACTAAGCTCTTTCATTGCGAACACGGCGATATGAGACAACTGGGCCAACCACTCACGAGACCGGTGGCTGACACCACTTTGGGTCTGTCAAAGCCAGCCATGGCTGCAACGTCCTCAGCTGCCGACGATAACATGATTCTGCGCAAAAGGCTGAGAGACAAGTGTGCACACAAGGCTGGTCCATGGTGATGAAGCCAAGATGCACGAGAAGCAGGAATGCACAACAAGAGTGAAATGTGCATGAACCCTCAACCGAGCTTCCAATATCCATGGAGTAAGGTAGTCTTTCGCGGCAGCACCGCCTGACGAAGTCAGCAAAACCACTGGACGTCCGCCACCCAGAAGTCCAGAGGGACCAGCACCGACTTCCTTGAACGTCAATCCTGCGCAGCAACATGAGCTGCAGACTTCAGCCACAGCATGCAGGCAACATCAAAGCCACGAACATCCACGGAGCGTGATCATGGTCTGCAGGCGTCCTGGATGAAGCACGCAGTCGAAGTACTGCTTCACGACCTTGCAGCGATTCGTGTGAGTATGGATCGCGAAGATCTCTTACACCCATTGCCAGCAGCGAACATACGGCGCCGCGAAGTTCCACATGGGAGCCGACACCACCAGACCTGCACCAAAGCGTTCATCAGAGAAGAGATAACACAAGTCAGAGCACAAAGCACAAGAAGCGAAAGCAGCTACACCAGTACAATACAACAAAGTCAAAACTTCAGCATTCACCGTTCATGCTGACCTCTGGCGGTTGCAAGCTGTTTCGCAAGCACCTCAATGCCGGCAAACTGCTGCGTGGTCTCCTCAGATCCGCGTCCTGCCAGCATTGCCATTTTGGCATTGACCTGACATGCGAAGCTCCAAGCCTCTAAGCTTCAAGACCTTCCTGCAAGTGCTCACGTACGGGAAAAGGGGGGCGAGTGCGGCCGAGGCACATGCTCTAAGTTGTACTCCATCTCCTTCCGGGTGGCCTCCTCCCACAAGCGGACATGCTGCACCTCCACATCTGGATACAGCTTGGCAAGATGGGCGAAGAGCGCGGAAGCGCCGCACCTCAGCCAGAGTGCAATGTGGAAAAGGTGGGGTATCATTGGTCTGAAGTGCTGCTCTTCGGCCCATCTATGCAGATGAGCTGCCCTATCACGGATTGCTCACCTCAGCCATTTACAGGGTACCTACAAAGACTCTGAACTGCATGCACGAGCCCGGATGGACTAAGGTTAGCACCGTGCGATGCATCCAAATGCAGAACATGGTCACAGACATGCGTTGCTTCCTGACCCATGCAGAAGCTAGCAGAGCAATTTCCTCACCTCACGCCCTGGCCTGCGATGTGTACGACAGCTCCGCAGCGAACATGACGAGCTGGCTTCGCGTCACAGTCGCACAGTGAGGATTTGTGTTTACATCACCATCTCGGCAAATGCTAAGTAATCATCCTGTGCGACACAAACCTGTGTAACTTGGGCTGAAATGATTTTCAACAGGGCGTTTGTGTCTCTGTGTGCGTGTGTGTATGTGACTGCGTGTACCCCGATGAAAACTCGGATTGCAGAAGAGGTTTCAGGATGAGCTTTGAGGCCGGTCCAGCAGTGCAACAGCAACTTGCATCCTTGTTTACACGCTGCGCCCGGGTTTGCGCAGCATCGCTCTTCGCGTCGGGCTCAGCCTTGACAAGGGCAGAAACTGAAAGAAAGCTCAAGCCGCCCGCAGATGCTTGCAGCTCCCCTTGCACGACTGATCCGGGCTAGAGACTCTCCGAGCTTCGCGGCAACCGTCGGGGTTCGCTCGGCGATCTCCTCGCAGCCTGAACAATCGACATCTCTGTCAAGAACAGCAGCGTGCACAGCGCTGAGAGGCAAAGACGGGACCGCAGCCAAGCCGGCCTCGTTTGATTATTCTGTGGCGCTGCCTGTTCCAGGCCTGTGCGAGCTATGCGAGCACGAGGCCGTGTTGAAGCCTTCCCTAAGTCCCTAAGTCATCTCTTCCTGAAGTAAGTACTGGTTTGTCAAACCCAACATGTGTGTTGAGCCCGCACGGTTCAATCGCAGTCCGCGCCAGCCTCCATCGTTTGCCGGGGATTCCTTAAGAAGCGCCAGCAGCCTCGAGGAAGGTACACGGGTGTTTTTGAACTACGTTTTGGACTTCACTTTTAGAGTGGACTCAGGACGAAGCGCACGAGGATGTCCTCGTCCGTATACATGGACTTTATCAGGTTGTACACCTGCAAGACGGGCATCTGGGCCTCTCCCGAGGCAGGAGGCAAGGACATGAGGCCTGCTCGGTCTCATCAAGTGGCAGCAGCATCGCGTAAAACATCGGCCTGGGCTTCACAGAGCCGGGGAGGGAATCTGCAGAGGAACAGAGCGCTGCAAAGCATATCCATGCTGAGACAGAGGCACCACGATCGCAAGCATGGAACACAACTGAGCAGTTGCGAGGCTCAGAACAGAAACCGTCCGAAACAAAAGGCCGAGAGAGATCCAGAGGTTGACTGGGCCACGCACGACAAAAGAGACCGGGTGTGACTTGTGCCGCCTGTGATGCGACCATGCGTGCAAATCAGCTCTTCTCAGTTTAAACATGTCGGCACGGCAGGAAAACCGTGATGAGCCAACAGATCTTCGCCAACTGACATAGGCAGTCACTCAGCTGTCGAAGCATAGACTCAGTCAAGGTCCCGGCAATCAAGAGTAGATTCTTCAGCGTGAATGGGCTGTCGATGTCATGGAGGACAGGATATCGCCTTGGTCATGAACTCTCGAATAACGCTTGCTGGGCTTGCTGTGCATCACTGCCGAGCTCGGCACAGGACGGCATCCAGCCAACCCCATCCGTTCGTCACCGCCTAAAGGCTGGCTCTGTGAGAGTAGAGGCACTCATCGGTGAAAACAGCTTGGGGCTTCGGCCAGGCAAGCCAGCAACCAGAGCGGTGATTGGTTCCAATGCCACATCCATAGGTCTATTCCTGCATTCGGGCCAGTTCCAAAGCTTGAGTTCACCTTCCGTGTATTTCTCAACCATGTTCCGGCCTGTGAAGAAGATCCAGAAAATGAGCATTCCCCATTTGACGCGCGCGTACCAGACCTGGAGATTCTTATTTTGCGGCAAGCTCCGACCGGAATCCCAGGTCTCTGAGTCTAAGCCGTCGGAAGCTAGCTCAGCAGCTTACGCTCGGGCAGGCAGCATCCTGCTCTTGGGCTGCCATGCAGGCCACCCACTCTATTTCTGCAATCCCTTGCGTGTGGAAGGATGTCCTTGCTAGGCATGTGTCCTCTGCTTTGGATCATGCTTGCAGGACTTCGACTTGAGGGGCTTGGAGTTATTGAACTTCCCCCTCCCAGCTGCATCTAATCGATACAGTTCTGCTCAGCCATTTTGGAGCCAGCGGTCGACTGCACACAAGCGCGTCCGGGGCAGTTCCCGGGCAGATTCGGGATGCACTCACACCAAAAGGGATTACTCTGAAAGCGAGGAAAGCATGTCGCAACGCACGCTTCGCCGGCCCCTTCATTTTAACCAGCCGAGTTCCACGATGAAGAGGAGCCGCCCATCAAGCGGGCTGGGCCTCCAAAAGCTGTCCGGGGCCGTTCGGCGAACAGCAAAACGCTGGAACTTCAATGGGGCATATGGGCCTATAGGATTTAGGGCTTTTAGGGCTTAGGGTTCAATTCTCGGGCCTGGCTTTCGTTGCTTTGGCCAGCCTCCAGCCTCAGCTGTCCGCGCATGGCTACAGCAGTCAAAAACACACCACGCAGCACACTGTTGTGGCTTTGAGCTGAGTCCAAGACCCGAGAAGATGGCCCATATTGTGCAACCTCGATGAGGATAGCTACCAGTGGCAGAACCAAGACAAGGAGAGCAGTACTAGCACCACGACGGCTACTATTGGTTGGAACCCCAAGCACAGACACACTATCACTATGCTAACAGCGGCAGCACTACTTGAAACACACACCTGCCTCAGAAACTTGTGAATTTCGGGTGCTTGGATAGCCAAGCGCAGGAAGTAACCTCGACCTCAAAGCAAACCGCACTCTGACAGAATGCAGAATGCATGCCTGGAGTCGGCTGCTGTCTACATTTGCAATGCAAACATCTGTGTAAGAGTCTGGCCCACATCTGTCAGTTTGCCACGAGAATCTGTGAGGGAATGTATTGCAATTACCTCAGCTGCAGGCCCAGAAAATCTGGCACTTCGTGCAAGCGGGTACTCAAATCACCTCCTCGGCTCCCCGGCCTCGTATCTCGACCGCTTGTCAGAGTAGCGAAAGACTGCGCTTCCGGAACTTCCAGGGTTTCCGAAAACCTGCTTTCAGGGAATGGACAAGATTGCGATGCTTTGCAGCAAGCAGATACGAAGTCAAACCACTCAGGCCATGCCGCGGAAGCAAGTCTGCTACCTCCTCCCCCATACTAACTACCCTCATGACTACACACGCCAGCAGGCCAGAATGGAGCCAGCCTGCGACAGCATCAAGCCGATGCCGGCTTTTTGTTCCGACAAGGATGCAACGTGACCTGATCACCCCAGACATTCTCCACGCACTTGTGACAATGGTGGGACAGAATGCCGCACATAACAATCTCTTCAAGCGGAACTGTGGAACTACCTCGCCAGGTGGGAAACAACAGCTAGAGAAATGCGCAAGTCCGCTGCCCTGCCCAAGTGGCTGGTCGTTTGCTACGCCGCTTCGATGCCCATGCAAATGGCACACTAGACCATCCCAAGTGGAGGTACTAGCATCGTCTACGCTCCCATATCGTCCTCCATGGTACAGGTAGCATCTGTGCCTGTGCCCATCTCTGAGGTGGCAGCCAGTCGTGGGCAACGGGAGCTCGGATGCGTCAGGACAGCCGAACATGATGATCTCATCCAGGGCGCGCACCTAGTATGGACAGCTGAGACGTCAAGACGGATTTGTTCTTGGAGAGTTCCTTCGATAGCACGAATCAAAGTCTTGCGCCACAGACTACGCCGAGCACCCGTCTGCTTACGGCTCTTTTGCAATCACAAGCCAATCGGTGAAGCTTCGACAACCCCAGACTGTTCACTCGATGTGGTCTGCGCTTGGCCTCGTCGAAGTCGCCCTCATCGATGACAGTTGCCGCTGGATTGGTGATGGGAGCTTTCAGCTTCACCAATGCCAAGTCGCCCTCCAGGATGCAAAAAGAGCCCATGTCGGCTTGTTTGTCTGGCATACTCTAGTCGGTTAAAGTGAGAGATGGCGTAAACTGTCATGAGTGAAAGGGAGAGCATTTTCTGCTTTCCAGTCTCCAGACAGAGCCGTGCGTGTCAAGTTTGGTTCCGCAAGCCTGTCAAGCTATTTAGGCCTGGCTTTCGTGTGAATTTGGAGCAGCATCCCAAGATGTGCTTGAGAAGTCCGGTTTGAGTGTTCCGGTGCATTTTGACCTGTTGCCAAGGACGGATTGTAACAAAGCACTTCCCTGCCTCGAAGGACCACTTGTCACCATACATGGAGTAAGCAACAATGTCCGCGGCTGATTGCACCTAACTGCGGCAATGCATTCGAAAATATGCTTCTCGCAACCTATGTTGAAGTCAGAGATTCTGTTAACTAGGCTTTAGCTCTGTGCAGAAAACTGAGTGGCCAGCAGTCCGCAAATGCCGTCCTCGCCTCGGTTGGACCCAGCCACTGGAGGCTCCGTCCGAGACATGTCAGGAATTTCGCAGCTCTCCCTTCGGCCCTCCATTCCGCATGCCGGGCTAATGTGCTGAACCAATACAGATTCAATGAACCGTCTCCCGAACTCCGTGGCACAACAAGGACACGTTGGAAAACCGAGTCAGAACCCAGCAGCCGCAAAACGGATTCCGCGCTAAGTACAGTAGGACATAGTAGGACGAGCAAGACATCGTAACAGCGCTTGCACGTCTGATCACCTATCCCGAATTTCTTCCCAGCCGCTCGTCGTAGTCGAAGCTCTCCACCGTCACGGGCATGAAACGGTCTACCTGGACTTGCAAACCTCCAGAAATCGAGGTGGGAAACAGATCGGGCCGCTGCCTTCTTGGAGGACTCTGACACAGGATCCCAGCCTGGAACCAACAAGATGCTGCACGGTAGGACCCTTCGCAGGTTGTGACGAGCAGCGATCATGTTGATGGATGCTGTCTCGGATGACATGGTGATTCGTCAGGACCTCGGCGCGCGACATGGCATGCCATGACTGCATGGAGGAAGTGTTGCAAACTGCGCACAAAACCCAGGGTCGCGGCAAAGGTCCCGTTCGCCGAGGCGGATATCACAAATCCCGAGCCCTGCGCGGAACTCTCCGATTCGGGAAGCCTCATAGCCTTCGAAGGGAGAACTAGGCCTGGGCTCCCCCATGGCTCGTGATGCGAACCGCGGCCAGTAGCATCCTGGCGCAGACGGCCGCCCTCACTCATACACACGAGATCCTATAGGACCCTTTTGGGGCACAGCGTGCTGCAAAAACGGTGCCAGCGAGGCTGGTCCCGCTTCTTCTCCCAAGCGCCTCTGCGCCGCACGACGGGCAGCATGATGCCGGGCACAGCCGCAGAGACAGAGCTGCTGGGTTCCGCGCTCGCTGCGCCGTCTGCCGTCTCGGCATCGGACGGCTTTGGCTTCGCTTTGCCTTGCAGGAATCACATGCGCTGCTGCCGGTCCCATCTTTGGACACTCGAACTCGGCACAAAGAAATCTGCCCTCACACGCTGAACAGCGCCGGACGGGCCTCTTCGTTTCTTCTTTGGCTTTGAATCTTCTTCGGCCGTGTCAGCAGCTTTGGCCGCAGCGGCCGCTTTCCGTGCCCGGCATGCGAGTTTTGCACTCCGAGCTTCAATGTCCCGCTGAACAAGCGATGACGAAACCTGTCTGAAAACGAAGCCACGACCCGAATCAGTGGCCGCAGGCGCAAGTTCACGCCTCCAGACCTGGAAGAAGCAGACTAGGGCAGGCCAAATCACAATGATCCGGCCATACCCATGGGACTTGCTCACCAATCGCCTTCCCTTGTCCATGAGCCCATCGGAATCACCTGCCTTGCACTACCTAGCTGCGAGCTGCACCCTCGACAGGCATGGCAGGTGAAAATGCCTAAAAGAATCAGATGTCCTCAGTCGTAATTATTGTCTAAAAGCTCCTAGGCTAGAGCCAACGGGCGTCAACAGGTGAAGACTCAAGACTACAAGTGCAGGCTTCATGTAGGGCTTCTTCCGACTGAGCTTGGTGCGCAACACTGCACAAATGCCTTCCGAGCCTTTTGCGTATGTGTGCAGTGCGAGTGGTCGGGCAAATCAACCTGCGCATTTGCGCGAGCAGATTTTAAAACGAGGGACAAAAGCAGACAAAGAGCTTGGATCTAAGCGAGGCTTGCTTCACACTTTGCCCTCGCCAGTGCCACGTCCACTTGCATGGGCTTGACGAAGCGAACAACGACTTGATCCTGGTCCGAGCAGTACTGCACCTTGTACTCTGCTCCATCTAGGCCGCAACCTTTGGCATCATTGATCGTCAAGTTGGAGCCCGACTGGTGGAAGACCGCACCCTTACATTCCCCATGTTGAGGACCCACTGCCTCAGTTTTGCTAAAGCAATTGGCAAAATGTCTGCTTCTACTTCAATCTTCTAAGCTTGGTCAAGGATATCGCTGCACCCGATCCCCGAAAGATGTACTTGCATATCGCTATTGTTATCCCTCAAACTCACGAGACATTCACATCGCAGCATCCTACCGTTGCATAGCTTTGGCAAACAGAACACCTTCATGTTGACGGTTCCACCGTTCTCCGTGTGCTCCAGGACCCGAACACTCAGTGTCTCAACCAATAAAGTGCCTTGATAGCACAGTTCGCTGTCACTTGGAAGGGCCTTCTCGCCACTGCAGGCAACAGCAGTGCTGACCCCATGCTGCATCCACGACGGCGGCTGCACGGCCACGGGCGAGGGCGGAACGGGCTCTGCGATGGCCTGGCTTTCCTCGAGGAGGACGCCCGAACAGCCGGATCGTCGCATCATCACGTTGCCCGCCAAGGGAGCAGTGATCTGCAGATTGATGACATCCTGGTCGGGGCAGTACCTGATCGTGTACGACATGCCACTCAAGCCGCACTTGGCAGCGTTCACGCTGATGTACTGCCCATGCTGGCTGTAGCCGGCACCAAAGCACTGGCCGTGCTTTGGCCCAACAGCCTCAGTGATGCGGCATCCTACAAACCCACAACAGGAGCTATACTATACGACACACGCACAGCAGCTATATGCAGAACCGGCCCATCCCAGTCCCAGCCGAGCTACCTTCATGTTCACATATCCGTGGTGGGCACCCTGCGTCACAACTCTGGCATAGAGAGACTCGACCAGGAACGCCCCGGAGTAGCACACTCCACCCCTGGGGAAGGTTCCATAGCCGCTGCAGCCCCGCTCAGACTCGGAGACTGCGTGCTCCTCCACGAGGGCCTGCGGTTCTGACACCATATCTTCAAAAAGAAACCTTTTCGCAGCTTTCGTCCTTGAAGGCATCGATCTGATGCCCGAGTTTTGGTTTATTTTCGTTCAGATCTGGCCAAGAATGCCATTCCAAAGGCACGGCGATCTGTAATGTTGCATGGTTAGGCATAAACTCTAGCACTAGTCCGTCCAAGCTAAAAACAGCAAGGACCGCAGCAGACGCAGGCCTTTTTTCTCCGTTGCCTGAAGACCGCAACTCCGGTCTGGAAGGATCTGATCGGCCTATCCATAATCTCGAGCTCCGGATCTATATTCGGATGTCCGGCCGGTCCCAAGAAAGGCCGGACATCGGGAAAGGACTCCGTGGTGCACGGCCAAAAATATACAACAAAGCCGGGCGCGACGGAGTACCCGTTCCGGGGAAGCACCCAACCAAGTTCAAGAATCCAGAGCCGGAAAAAAGGTGCTATGGTGTACCTCGGGCGGATGATAAGAAGAACGAGGCGGGGAGGAAAGTAGTTTCCGCGGGATTTCAACCTCATCACCAGGCTGAAGTTCAAATGACGAAGGGTCCCGGTCGCGGCTGAGGCCATCCGCTGTGGTGTTGCGGAGGCCCGGGACCTGATCGAAAAACGAGAAGATGCAGAAATGTTGCTGCCAATGGGAGTAAACTTCAAAGAGCTGGCGGAAGCGCTTGGCAGTTGAAAAGGCCTTTCCAGGAGGCAGCACCGGACGGGCTGTTATCACACCGCCTCACAAAGTGCAACCGCGATGAGAAGGGCAACACAACAGAGAAGGGCCATCTGACCCAAGAGTTACCAAGCTGCAAGATTTCTGCGGAAAACAGTCCGCAAGATACCAAGGGAAAAGATCCCGGAGTGCAGAGAGAGTGAAGGTGGCGCGAAACCAGACCGTGCGTCGGGACGGAAGGGAGACGAAACCACCAAGGCCGGCGTGACGACAGTCGGCACATGCATCCGCGAATGCTTCGCAGTTCAGTAGCGGGGCAAGCGGAAGTTAGAAAATCGGTGCATTGAAGGCCAAGCAGGCAACCCAGAGTTCAAGGACCGTACAGGATTCGGTGCGCATACGCACAGAAATCCAAACGCTGCGCTCACCCGGAAAGTTAATTGGAACAGCCGCAAGAGAGTCCACCTCACGGTTGCGGACCGAGACAGGCGAAGATCCCACCAGACAGCTGGCAAGACCAATGTCCTTGGTAACGCGAAGATCTATAATAACAAGTTGTCTGGGCTGACAGCAATGTGCCCAACGGAGCTAATCTCTGATCACGGTAAAGCGGAGCCAGGGTCGGACGAAACGCCCGGAACAAATAACAGACCCAAAAAAACTTGTCGGTCGAACTTGTAGCGGCGTTAGGTCCGACGACGATACATTGAGCAAAATTTCGCGCAGGCGGATAAGTTCGGGTAATTCCATCATAGTGGACACTGAGCCCAGGCAGGGGGACCAACCCCGAGATACGCCTCATGTTAGAGCATCGGACCACGCAAGATCAGCAACATGATACCCATAGTGAGACCCAGACCGGAGCTGTGGGGCCGGACAAAAAAGAAAGCAGGTGATCGACATAGATGAGGAGGGCAATCTTAATGAAAAGCAAGCAGTGCAGAAGCCGGGATAGCATTCCTGCCAGGCGGGCCCAAGAAAAGAAACGGAGGCGCGGGCGCCGAAATGAAGCGTAAGGCACTGGAATATTTTGTCTTGGCGCCAAGAACAGAGTAAAAACAGAGTAGGCCTTGGTCGGACGGATGTATATTAATCCGACGGTGTGCTTCGCTAAACATCTAAAATGAGTGCAAAGAGCGCCCCGAGGGCCGGGCGGGAAGGAAGGCACTGGCGGAGTCCGGTGACGATTGGATTCGCGGACTTGTTGGGGAGGGCCGTGTGGTCGGAGACACCGGAAACGCTGCTGTCGACAACGAGTCTACTTTAACCAAACCTAATTTCCCGATGGCGGATCCGGCATAGTGTGACTTAGGATACTTCAAGCCGCCCGAGAGTTGAGCCCCACGCAGATTCCTGCAACGGATCGGCCGGCCACGCCCAACCGGTTGGGATGCGAGTGGACCATGCTGCTCGTGTGGGTCAGGGCCGGGGCGCGGGCCGGGATGGGGCGGTCGGTGCCGCCGCCAACCAAGCAGCCGGAGGATGTTGCAAGGGCCGGACAAAGTAAGCAGGCGGGCCTCGACTTCCACGGAGCAGGGGCGGGTCCTCGACAAAGTCGGTCGGGGATCGCGGGGTCGGGCCGGAGCGGCAGCTAGAAGAGGAACTCGCCGCCGATGGCGACGGTGGGACGGGGAGCGGGACGAGTCCGAATGCCCTGGGCATCAAGCCGTTGACAGCCTACACTCAATTATCTAGCGCACCGCGAGTAACGGACCGGATACGCTTAAGTCGAACGGTTGCGGTGATGACTTGCCGTTGCGATGCTTCAGGGGAAAAAAACACATTGCGAGGACTGGAAAAAACGCTGTGACATGCTGTGACTCAATTTGTGCCAAGCACGAGGCCAAGCCGACTTTCAAAGCCTGCTACCGGCATGAAGACCTGCCTGCGTGCTGGCCTTGAGCAGGTCTTGTACCCAAGAAGGCGGCCGCAAACCCATCGGCGAAGGCAGAACTGGCTCTGCGATGGCCTGGCTTTGTTCGAGGAGGACGCCCGAACAGCCGGATCGCCGCATGACCACGTTGCCCGCCAAGGGAGCGGTGATCCGCAAATTGATGACATCCTGGTCGGGGCAGTACCTGATCGTGTACGACATGCCACTCAAGCCGCACTTGGCAGCGTTCACGCTGATGTACTGCCCATGCTGGCTGTAGCCGGCATGAAAGCACTGGCCGTGCTTTGGCCCAACAGCCTCAGTGATGCGGCATCCTACAAACCCACAACAGGAGCTATACGAGACACGCACAGCAGCTATATGCAGAACCGACCCATCCCAGCCGAGCTACTTTCATGTTCACATATCCGTGGTGGGCACCCTGCGTCACAACTCTGGCATAGAGAGACTCGACCAGGAACGCCCCGGAGTAGCACACTCCACCCCTGGGGAAGGTTCCATAGCCGCTGCAGCCCCGCTCAGACTCGGAGACTGCGTGCTCCTCCATGAGTGCTTGAAGCTGCGGCTTGGCCTCAGCACACGGAGTGCGGCTCAACACCACACTCACATCCATCGGCTTGAGCATGTGCACGACAATCTCGTCTTGGTTGGAGCAGTACTTGACGGTGTAGTCTGTGCCAGGAACAAGCCCACAGTCCGTGGTATCTTCCACCGTAATGTCTGATCCCGATTGCTGGAACTGTGCACCGTTGCAAGTGGTCGTCTTTGGCCCGACAGCCTGAATGAACGGGAAAAAGAAGCAAGCATAAGCTCGGCTTTGCGGGCACACGTAGCATCATAATTCATTCCGCAAGCAAGCGTCCTGAAGGTCAACGCTGCCGCTTGTTGCGGTCTGCTTTGAGAGCTTCACAAAGAACTTTTCCACAAGGAACGAACCCGTGTAGCAGAGGTCATCGGAAGATGGGAGTTCCGCGGTGCCACTGCATGCATCCTGGGATTCTGAAGTTCTGAAGTCAATGAGAGAAGAGAAGCTCCAGAAACTGCTGCTATCGGTCCTCATCCAGAAGCGTGCTCTTCGAGTGGCGCATCTGTAGTGCCTCGTGGGGCAAGCAGCGCTCACATGCGCATTACGTGGTGTCTCGGTGCGTAGTAGGTTGCCTGAACAGAGCACGTCTTGTCGCCGGAACACTCATCCTGGCGCGCGCAGACAAGTGTTGGCACAAAAGATCCTGCTGCAAATGCCTTAACACTTCGAAGCAGCAACAGCAACGAGTAGCACTAGCCGGCAGCGCGTCCCGTGCTAGTGCATGATCGTCCTGTCCCATTGCAAGCTACTCAGGTCATCACCGCCTGCCTTTCGGACCGTCCTCCGGAAGAGCAAATCCGGGGACGAGGAGGAATGCCAAGAGCCTTAAGCTAGTCCAGCCAGGGCTGGTGAGGCCAAAAACGGGAACGGTGAGGTTCCGCCGAAACAAGCGGCTGAGCTTCCAGCTTGAGGAACATTTTGAACGCTTGAAGCAGGAAAAGAGGCGCACGCGCACACCTCTTCTCCAGGATGGCAACATCATCTTGTCACCAATAAGGTCCCAAGAATTTGGCACCAACCGAGACCCGGGCCGGTCCGCGGTCGGTTTTAGCCTTGCGGCAACGGAAGCGCGAGAAGCATAGAGCTCGAGCCGGAATTCCCACGGATGACGGGGCGATCAGAAAACTCAGAACAGATGACACAACCTAATTGTACAAATGCATGAACTAAAACCCGCCCCCTAACCGAAAACACAGAAACATGCAGACACCTCCACATGCGTCTGTCGCTGTGCCTCTCTGCTGCAGCCTCGCTCTTTTTTTTGCTGCTTGCGACAGCTCCAGCAGCTGCGACCTGTAAGGAAGGATGCGCTTCGTCTCGGAAGCGCAAAAAGCATGCAAGCAAAAAAAGGGTAACAGCACCTGCGATGAGGATCCATTTGGTTCACGGCCTTGAGCACCGCAGACCTTAGTCTCACAGGACCGCGACTGCCACGTAGCCTGAGCCTCCCAGAGTCTGGGTGCCTGACATGGGCGACGAGCTCAGCTTCGTGGAGAGGCCAAGGCTGGGCCAGTCGAAGTGCGAGGAACTTGGAGGTCCTGCAGAGCCCACAGAGCCCGTCGGCAGGGCGCCTGCCGCAGCTGCCGCAGCTGCCGCAGCTGCCTGCTGCCATGCGCTCCAGCAGCTGTACGCCTTCTGATTCAGGAAGTTCTTGGCACCCCGATGCAAGGCTCGAGGGAGGCGAGCCAGGCCTTCGTCCGGCCGTAAGTTCTCACGCCAGGCCTCGCAAAGTCAAGTCATGTCAAGTCTATCCTGGACTCCTGGACCAGCCCTTTGATACCACGGAGCCAAACTCTTGAGCATGTTGCGTGCAGGGCTTTGCGGTTCGACTGCTAGTTGCTTCATGGAACGGAGCACTTTCACCTTCAGGGTCTCCGCAATTGCTTCCTGACGAGTCTCCTGGAAAGGGGTTCACAACGAGACCACAGGGACAAGCCAGCGGAAATCAAAGCAGCGAATCTCGGTCCGTGAGGATCTGGTCCATCTCCGCTCGGAGAGAGTTCATGGGAGCGTGGGCTTTGGAAATCTTTGGTTGGTCTGAGAGTTTAAGGCTGCTGGGTCCTTTGAAAGTCAGCTCCATGCGTGGCGCAGTTCGAGGGCAGAGCCAGGATCGGCTGAAGGATCAACTTCGATGCAAGAATCTGCGCTTACGGTTCGGGAGCACAACAAGACGAGCTGAAGCTTTTTCCGGATGAAAATCTAGATGGCATCTGTCGGCCTTTACGGCCACAGCATCAAAGCTAGGAAGTCTGCAAACCCAGACAAAAGCCCCCCTCACCGAATCGAGATTCGAAGGTGAAACACCTGTAGTTTACACGTCGAGACCAGCAGCTCATCTGCCGGAACTAGTCAGGCCTGGGCAAACGAAGCCCGAACATCCACAGCAAATCACAACCCATCGAGCAGCTCTGTACAGCTCCCAACCTCTCGAGAGGCAGTACGCTGTCCAGGATGCCACGCCAGAAGGGCTGGTCAAGGGTGTGAACAGCGTTTGCTGGGATGCACAGCTGCTGTCGAAACTGAACCAAGGCCACACCCAGTCCTGCAACAGGCCCCCGGCAGGCCTCAATCTTCTTGTCGAAGACATGTTCCTCCGCCCGCTGCGTCAGGCAGACGATCTGGATCACCATCTGTCGGAGAAAAGACTGTCCTTCTTTTCTCACTTCTGCACTCACTGCTGCACGCAAGAACCTCTTCTCTGCCCGGCCTGCTGCTGTTGCCACGGCGATGCTTGATAAATTTGCTGGAATTGCAGCAATGATTGGAGCTGCGCCAAGGTCTGCAGCTGTGGTGGCGCGTTTGCCGCGGCTGCTGTTGGCGGCTGCTGGAGTTGCTGCAGAGGTGCTGTTTGCAGGCCCTGTGCTGCCTGGAGACCTGACCAAGGAGAGCATGGCACAAGCAGCAAGACGAGAAGACACGAATGATGGGAGGCGGGCCAAGCAGCGGACCAGGGCCCTGCCACCAGGAAGCTGTTGCCTAGTCACGGGCCTCTGGAGCCCGGGCCTGCACCTCATCTTTGGCGTCGAGGAAACTCCTCAGCACTGTAACTCACGTCGGACTTGAATGAAATAGCGATCTGCGGCTTCAGCCTGCCGGTGTACAGAAACCAAGGAGAGGACAGGACGCTCTCGATTTGGGACCAGGATCTGACATCCTGCATCGACGTCAGTGAGGATCTGTCTCGGACACCGTTACAAACTGTCGATCATACTCTCGCTGTCGATGATTTCACGATATTTCACGAGCCTTGGCATCGCCGTCATCGTCGATGATCAACTGGCAAGCGATGCCATCGCTATTCTATTCGCACCGGGAGAGCCAGCAAGGCATGCTCCGCAACAGCAGGGTGACAGCAAGCTGCGAATCAAATCTGAGGTGCGCTGCGAGCCCTGAGGCTCGAAGCTTGCTCTAGGGCAAGGTTCTACATGCTTCCGAGGCTTCCCATGCAGACCTTGAGCGGGTTCCAGCAGTAGATGCCACGACAAATCAGCAACGCCATGACCTGCCGGAAGCGGACATGTCTAGGCCTAGGCTCAACAGGCCGACAACATCACCGCCTTCTTGGCATCCACCTTCCTCTCGCAAGCCAGCCTGCGAGTCGAACCGCACGTGACAAAACTGTGGCTTTGTGCAGTCCGTGCGGCGTTTCCTTGCCAGCTCCTTTGCACGCTCCGTGGCAGAGCTCGCCTGGCATACACGGCTTTGTGCTTCTGGCTCCGTCTCCATGCAACCTTTCTGCCCAGAGCCTTGGGGCGATCCGCGCGGCCTTCGGTGCCGCCGGCAACGCCGCTCGCGTCCGCAGCCTCGGCCTCCCCTGGCCATGAAATGCAAGCGGCGGGGAAGCTACGCGTCTAGACGTCACTCGCCTGGGCGCAAGCCGAAGCGGTCAGAGACAACTCTTGTTGCTTCCCTTTGCAGAGTCCGTCTCACCCTTGTCTCGCTAGAGTACTTGCAGCATAATGCTGTACATGAGGATTCACTCAGCGTCGGTGGTGCAGGGGGTCTGCATCCTCACTGTCAAGGACAGGCGCTTCGTTGCCGAAAACGCTCGTTGTGAGCGTTTTTCTTGGATCCCGTTTAAGGAAGCTTCTCTCGTCATGCTCGCAGCCTCCTCCAGTAGAGCCTCCAACAGAGGAAGCGCCTCCTCATAATACGTCTCCGTCGATTTTTTTGTCAGTGCGATGCGCGCATGTACGACGCGCGCTTT